TCCTCCATCTCCCTCCACACCCAGCGCACCCTCGGCCCCATCCACACTCCATCAGTCTTTCCTCATCGGGAGACAGCCTCTATATGTGATCAGCACCCAAGTCTGGTTTCCACACACTGCTCATGTTACCAGGGAAGAGGCTGCAAGCCTGTTTTAGTTTGGCACTTATTTGCCTAGAGATGAAGTGGAAACACTGAAATAGATAATGGAAGAAAGTTTGGTGTTCCAGTGAAATGTCGTTAATTCAGATTCTGTGAAGGCAAAATGTGCTATAATTTCAATCTTATGAACTGACTAGTTGTAAAGAAAGAACCTATATAAGATAAAGTTCATTCCTTAAAGTAAGTCTCAAGTAGACATTCCAGTCTGCTAGATACTTCCTAGTTTATTGTTTATTGATTTAACATATGTGCATAACAAGTGCTTAGGGATAAGGCGGGGAGGGGTGCAGAAAAAAGTGAAGAAAACTCTAAGACTTATCATGCTTGAATTATAGTAATTATGGAAGTAACTGAGTTCTTATAATTTAAAAAAATCTTTTTTTTTTCTGCACGTTAAACACTTGTCAACAATTCAGTGAACCTAAATCTGTTTAATTAATGGGGCCTGATGGTTGGGTAGTTATAGCCCCAGATTGGGAGACAGGACGGCTGGGTCCCAATCCCAGCATTCCACTTAAAATCTTAGGTGAACTCCTTTATCTCTGACAGCCTCACTTGGTTTTCTCATTTGTCAAATTGTAGAAGAGATCTTCCTACAGAGTTGGTAATAGTAATAATGATGATAATAATAATAATAATAGTAATAATAATAATAACAATAATGTCCCTTTTAAAATGTAAAGTCCTGGACAGATACGAAAGGCTATTAAAATCATTATTACAGGAAGCCTAGGGATGGCGTTCGGCTGTCTGGTGGAAGTCTGTGTCTCGAGGAAGCAAGAGAGTGAGAGAAGCAGGATGGAGATCGCAGATACAGAGGCAGCTGTGCCAAACAGCAGCTCAATCGAAGCCCAGCTCAGCCTCGCTCCACTGACACATGCCCACACGCTGCTCTAAACCCTTGGAGGAGGAGGTCCAAGGCCAGTCTGCACACTTGTTTGGCGGGAGGCAGCTGTAAGAAGTGAGCCCTCCCACCCTTAATTCCTGGCTCTGTCTGGGCTGGGCGGCTGGCTGAGCTGGGGAAGGAGGTAACAGGCTCCTCCCAGGTTAATTCCTGGAAGAGAAAGTCCACCTCCTCGGCTCTCGGCTTGCTTCTTGCTGCTGCTACAGCGTCTACTCTCTGATACCTTCTTGATGTTCAGTCCACAACTACCTCCTGCCTGGTGTCTTCAAGCTCACCTCCCTCATGCTGAGCAGCTGCTGTGTTCAACGGTAGTGCAATCCAGTTGTCAATGTACTTGACATTGATTCATGGGTGCCGGTTCCTCTTCCCAATTCTCATCACAATGTTTAATCTCAGACCATTATTTAGCCATTTTTTAAAAATCCCCCATCTCCCTGGCGTCTGGCATGGATAAGGCCTTGAATAAATAATGAAATGCGGAGTTTTTCAAATTTGAGTGATGATCTTTGAAAGGTAAACTAAAATCATCACGATCCCTGAGAAGACATGTGGCAAACCTGATATGAGAAATAATAGGGTGGTGCAAAGGGCATGGGAAGAGAGTCACCGGGACTGTGACCGTGTGACCTTAGGCAAATCATGGCCAGATTACCTCCCAAACATGGTAGCAATTCACTCTCCCAGCAGCAGAGTCCAATTTAGATCAGTGGGTTTCAAACTGCAGCAATACAAAGATCCATTCAAACGCAAACTCAAAGACCTACCATGTAAGTTGTCTAAAGGTTCCCCAGGCAGTTGGACCCTTCTTCGTTGGCAAAGCCCCAGAAACATCTCATCGTTGCCCTGAAACCACTGCCCCTGGGGTTCCAAGTGCACGATTTTAAAACCCCAAGTCTAGATCATGCCTGGCATCTCCCCCTTTATAATTGTACTTGTCCATTGATTGAGCTGGAGATAGAGTGTGTGGGTTGGCAGGGTGGGTGGGGGCTAGGTTTTGCTTAGGTACCTGAACTGTCAGAGAGGCAAGAGCTGGGATGGAGAAGCCCTGTCTAGGCAGAGGCACTAAAGGAGCCCAATAACAGAGGTGGGAAAGTCAGGGCAATGTGTGCCCCTGCAGAAATCCACTGCTGGGAAAAAATGCTCCCTGCCAAGGGTCTCTGATAGCTCTTTTCTCTCCCATCACTCTATTAAACAAGCATTCACGAAGGGCCGACGCAGAGCAGCCACACATTGTACTCTGACCGGGGAACTTACAACACAATCTCGGACTCTGAGAACGTTGCGGGCTCTTCAGGAGCCAGTGGGTAAATGTGAGATAGCACTAAATGATGGCAGGAACTCAGAGGAAGGCCCGTGACCCAGACTAGGTGGAGGTGAGGGGACAGGGCAAGAACATTTTACAGAGAAGAAACACGTATTTCTGTGCTCAGAGGTAGCAGGAGAAAGTGAAAGAGCCAGGGGCTGAGCTGAGTTCAAATCCTCGCTCCACCATTTGCTGTCCCAGCTATGTTATTTAAATCTCCTCTCCCATCATCATACATAATACCCTGCAGGGGACCCTGAGAATTACATGAGATCATGAATAAAAAGTACTGGGCACACAGTGTATGTAGTGGATGGTAATAGATGTTGTGCACTATTACCCATTACGCTCGTCTGTAAGCTGCTTAATGACAGGTTTGCCATCATTACCTTATTTGTCTTTGAAGCCTCGCTGCCTGGCTCAGAGCCTTGCATTTTGTAGGCACTCAATGAATATTTATTAAGTGAATGTTGAGTGAAGTGCAAAGGCATATAAATAAGTTTGGGGGATTAGAAAGCCATTTTTTATGGCTGGTGCCCATCTACCTCTTGGCCCATACAGGCAGACACATGGCTTCCCAAAACTGCCTGGCAAATCTTCTCCTGGCACATGCCTAATACACAGGCTCTCCCAGCCCACACTACACAGCAGCGCACCTTTGATGGCAGCCATCCAGACACACATCTACTGAGGCACACACAGAGAGTGGAGACCTCCTACAGACACACACATGCACAAGCTGAATGGTTGAAACAGGTTTCACCGAGTGCAGCATGCAGAGGCTGCCATAAATGTTAAATAATAACCATCTCAACCAACCCATCCTCCCTCTGGCTCACTTTTGAGAGACACCTGAGTTTCTTTCTCCACCTGAGTTTTTTCTCATGTCAAGCAGGGTGAGCGTCCCCCACTCACATCTATCCAGCTGAGACCTTGTACTTGAACTCCCAGTTGCTAAGCCTCACTTTGCTCCCATTGGCTGTGGACCTCAGGGAAAGCCCTGCCCCTCCAGTGCCTCAGTTTCTTTCCTGGTAAACACAGAGAGTTAACCGTACTTCACAGCTGACCTGGTAGTTATGTTTGGAGGACAATGGAGATAACAAAGGAGATAACGTCTGTGATGTGCAGAAAGTGCCTCAGAAGAAAGGCGCTGGATAAATACAAGGTGTAGACGCAACGCCTGATTAGCATGTATGCCTCTGCCCACAGACTTCCACCCACAGACTCAGCTCTTCCCACCCTGAGCACAAACACCCTTCTCCCAGGAACACTGTCTCTAATACCCATTTTCATGTGCACACACATGCACACATACTTCCAACACCTGTATTTTCCCCAGCATGCCCAAAGAAAATTGTTTTTTGAACTTAGAGCAAGCTCAGGTTACAAACACTCTCTTGCTCCCACCCACAGACTCTCTCAAGGGTCTCTCAAGAACTGCCAAGCAGACAGCTCATCTCTCTGTGGCTGGGCGCCTCGGCTCCCACGATTATAATTAGGCTGTGCTTCCCTCAGAGCAGGAGACCCCTATCTGGCACTGCTCCTGCCAAGAGTTCTCCAGAACTCAGTGCCTCCTCACTTGTTTGCCAGTACCCAAGGCCAGAGCAGAGGGGCTGATGGCAGCAGGACAGCATGGATGGAATGGAAGAGGAAGGAACCCTGAACTTCAGATGATTAGATCACTAACCACTCCTTGTTCCTGAGAAACTGAGGGCTCTGAAGCTAACAAGTCTGGCACACTTTCCTAGGCCTGACACACTCATGGGCGAGCAGAACACTCATTTGCTCCACAGTTCAATCCTTTCCACTTGGAGCAGGAAAGAGAAAGATCACCTGGCCCTTGATGTTTCTGTGTCTTAAGCATGTGGGAGCGTATGTGTGTGGAAGTAGTGGGGGGCTGGCTGTTTCTGGTGGGTGAGAGAAAGAGGTGAATGTGGTGCGTATGTAGGTGTGAGACTGTGTGTGTGTGCGCGCGTGTGCATGTGTGTGTGTGTGTTACTTTGGCTGAATTGTATGTCCAGGACTATCCTGGTGACCTGCAGCTTCAGGGGGCCACTTAAATTCTGGGGTTCATCACCCCCCTCTCTATTCACCTCAGCCCGTGTGATATGCTCCTTCAGTGAATCATTTCAAACCTCTAACTGCACCATTGTCCCTGCCATCGGTGTGGACACAGCACATCTCCAAAGTTCCAGACAGCCAAGCTCAGAGGCCGGCTCCAGCTGTCAAACCCACTGACGGGCCAGGGCCCCTCCAGCCTCATGCACACCTCGGGCTTCCTCATCTCTGACATCAGTGTCACCCAACACTTATGTCCATCAAGATCAGATTCAAGTCTGGGAGTAGATAAACCCCATCTGCAGGAGATAGAGACAAAAACAGAAGGACAGACTCTACTCTGTCCTCAGGGCTGGGACCACCCAGCAGCACCCACCCTGGCAGAGGGGAGACCCTGACAGTTACCTGCAGAGACAAAGACACCTAGGCATACCAGGCACAGACAGACAAAGACTTACAGACGCGCGGACGCGCTGCATGCCGCGGGGAGCGCGGTGTCTCCGGAGCCTGGACGCCCTCCGTGGCAGCAGACCCTTTTGGGAGTGAGCGAGATCACTCGTCCACCGTAGCTTACCTGCCTCCTGCGCCTCGGTCTGACTTGAGAATTATTTTCAGTGTGTTTGGCAGTGTGTTCTCGTCTCTCTTTTCCCAGTGCTGCCGGGCGGCTTTGGCTCGCGGGATGAAGCGAGCAGAGAAACTTTCGGCCGCTCCGCCCGCGCGCTGCCCACCGCCCGCCCGCTCTCTGCGCGCCGGCCTCTGTGCGGGGTCCCAGAGCCGCGGGCGGGCAGGCGGGCGGGGCTGCGGGTAGGCGGGGCGGGGCTTGTGCTGCTTATTGGCAGGGACAAGGCGGGGCGGAGCCGCAGGCGGGGCGGGGTGGGGCTGGCGCCGGCGCCGTTCATTAGCCAGGGTGAAACAGAGCGCGGGCGGGCAAGGGCGAGGCGAGGCGGGGCTGGCGCCGGCACCGCTCATTGGCCGAGGCGCGGCCGGCAGCCTCGCCCTCACCGCTCGGCGGCCTTTGTTTCTAGCTGACAGCTGGGGTTGCTCGCGATCTCCCCGCTCCTCTGCGCCCGCTAAGGGCGCGGGGTCTTGGGGCCCCCATTTCTCTGCTCTCACTTCCAGCAAACCCCGCCGGGCGACCCTACCTGCTGTCTTTCCTTCCTCTGCCTTCTCTGACTGTTCCCATCTTGCCCTTATTCCCTCCTTTTTCTTCTTTTATTACCTGCATTCCGTTCTCACTCCTTCAGGTTTCCTTTATCCATTCCTTCTCTTTCTCTTTTTCTTCTGTATTTTCCCCGTCTTTATCATCTCTTCTTCCAATTCACCAGTTTCCTTTTCCCAGTAACGCTTCTGTACTCCAACCCCTAAACCCCGCAAAAAAGGCTGGATTTCTAGGTTCAAAGACCTGATTAGCAACCTATGAGGGGCATTAGTTCACCATGCCAGGACTACAGACCAGAACGCAGAGCACTGGCATTCCTATTCCCGAGACATTTCAAAGGCAAACTTTTTCAGCTCCCCACCAGGGACTAAGTTCCAGGGAAAACCTGGGGCCTGTTTCAAGTTTATAGCTATTAATCTCATCCAGTACCTTTCTAACACTATCATGTTCTCTACCACACTCATTTTCAATTTCTAGCAACTTAGCTAGGAGTAAAACCAAACTTACATGCTTTGGTCGGACAGTTAAATGGGGTGCCAGGTGTTGCATGAGGCTCTGTTCCTGAGGGTGCACTGAGGCTAATTCTCTAAAACTCAGGTGTGACTCTGTCCAGGGAGCATTAACCTCAGCCAAAAGAGGTGTGTGTGTGTGTGTGTGTGTGTGTGTGTGTGTGTGTGTGTGTGTGTGTGTGTGTGATTGTAGGGGGGGGGGAGGCTGAGGTGTCTGACATCTGACTATAAGTAGAATAGAGGAGATAGCCCTAAGATAAGCAACACCATTTTGTTTCTGCCACCCCTCTGCTCAATACCCTATAGGAGGTCCTCACTATCTCCAGATCTTGGCCCTGAAGACTCCAGCTTGCAATTGCAGGCTTCTTGGAAGGCAGCAGAGCACAGGGTTGGGAGCACAGACAGGCTCTGCTACTTATCCTGGTGACCCTGAGCGGTGCCTTAACCTCCTTATATCTCAGTTTTTTCATTTATAAAATGGGGGTGACAATTCCCAGAATGGAAACTCTCGAGAGGGCAGAGACCGTTCTTTTGTGTTCATGGCTGAGAGACTTGGTCTGTTTTGTTCAAGGGTATATCCCCAACACCTAGAACTTGCCTGACACATAGTAGTAGGCACTCAATAAATATTGGTAAAATTAACTCCTAGTGTATAGTTTGTTGTGAGGGTTAAATAAGAATTTTTTTGCATGTGGTAAGTACTAACACATAGCTCTTACAAGTAACAAATCCTACAACTTCTCTGCATCAACCCCAAAGGCCTTCTCTGAAGCTCATCTTTTCTTTCCCACCTTTTTATGTACTTCTCCCTCAGTTTGAAAAATCTTTCACTACCTGTCAAAACCTGAGACCTAAAACGCAATCCTTATTCACACCTTCTCTGACCATCCCAGGCAGAATAATGCTCCTTCCTCTAAAGCCCCGTGCTTCCTGTGTCCCATTCACTGACACGACGTATGTGTGCTTGCTTGCATGTGTAATACAATCCAGTTGTCACATCCAGCTGTGACTGCAGGTCTGTCTCCCTAGAGTGTGAGAGGTCTGGGGTCAGGGACTGGACTCTACATCTATCCCCAGAGACAGATGTGGTGCCTCACAGGTGGGAGTTTCTCAGGAATATTTCCTGAATGGGTTAATATAGATCAAACATCCCTTAAACAAAGGGTAGATTCTTGGAAGGCTGAGTAAGGGATCAGGTGGCCTCTGGACTTCAGTCAAACTGATTTTTGTGTCTTCAGATGTGAAATTCCATGGAAGGGGCAAAAGGCTCCTGGAGGCCTGCTGCTTCTGGTTCTGGTCCTACCAATGACCATTTACATGCTCTTGGACAAGCCATGTCCCTGGCTAGGCCTCAGTTTCCTCATCTGCAAAGTGGGTACTTTGGATGAGCCTCTAAAGGCCCTCTTCCAGCACTAACTGGCATACTGTGGTTCTCTGCCAGAAAGATTCTGGGTAGAAGACAGGGCTTGACATGCAGCCCTCTTATAATGACTGAGTTAGGCAAAGGGTGTGGGCAGTGTGTTGGTGTATGTGCGAGGTGTGGAACCCGGATCCAGTATGGAACAATAGAAACACCCTGTGGAAGGGATGCTTCAGAGATAAAGGGTGCGTTGACAGTAGAGGTGGAAGTAAGGAAGCAGAATAGGGGAGGAGACCTGTGATGGTATAGTGTGTGTGGGGTGTGTGTGTGTGTGTGTGTGTGTGTGTGTGTTCGTAAAACGCTCAGGAATGCAGTTTCCAGGAGTACAAAGCCATAATTAGCTCCCTGATTCAGCTGTTGGGTATGGTAATGCAAAGGCTGGGTGTGTCTGCCCCTGAAACCTCTGGTGAGAGTCTCAGTGTAGCTCCCCTTCCTCTGTCTAATGAAGGAGTGCTGCCTTTCCTGAGTCCCAGGTTTCCCATTTGGACCTCTGCATCACTCAGGCTCTCCCTGGTCTGAGCCGAGTCTAGAAAGAAGGGTCACAAAGCATGTTCTTATAAAAATAAATGTCTGGCCATCCTCATCTATTCATCACCTGAGCTTCTGTGACAGTGGCTTACTGTCCTGACTTATCACTTTGTGTTTCATCTCTAGGACCTAAGATTGGCTATATAGGACCAGGCCCATGGACCAGTTAACCCAGCAGCTTGTGTGGATCAGAAAAAGGTCTATCTTTTACAAGGACTTTCACCTATCACAATTTAAATAATTGCCTGGCTTCTTGTTTGTCTTCAACTCTTCTGTAAGTTTCTTGTTCAAGACCACATCTTTCTTATTCAGCATCGAATCCCCAGCACGTTGTCGGCATATGGCAAGCACTCAAAAAATACTTGAATGAATTCTATGAAGGGGACAAGGTGATGTTTCAGAAAGAGGGATGAACTCACATACAGAAGACCTACATCTACAACTCCCACATTTTCAGGCTTGTGGTCCTGTTACAATCTTTTCAAGACTCAGTTTGCTCTTTGGTAAGATGGGCCTAGTAACATTTGCCCTATCTGTCTTGTGGCAATGATGCAAAGATGAAAAGAATTAATGAAGTCGAATGTGATAAGAGAAGTAAAAAAATGTTAAATAATTGTTTAATATTATTTCAAATCTAAAAATCCAGGGCCTTGTGTTGGGAGATAAGAAAGGCTGCCAATATTGAACTGAGGTTGTTGGGTAACCTCCAAAAGTATAATTGACTAGAAAATATTATAATGCTAGATCATTGAGTAAAGCTTCCAGGGATCAATAGGCTGCCACTACTTCATCTAGCTCTCAACCACCCCAAGAAAGTACAGGAAGGCTGCTTTTGCTGCCAGCTGAGCCGATCAATGCCTTCTGACTTAGAGGATGCCCACCAGTGTCCCATCTCCCTCCAGGTAGAAAACGATTCCCCTGGAATTTCCCTGGATGTGTCGCTTTTATAACCAGAACTTATGTTTCTTACCTGTATGTCCCTGGGCACCTGGTACCTCTTCTCTCTGGACTTCATTCAGTAAACTCTCCTTTGCTTTGGAAGGAACATCTCTTCCTTGATTTCTCTGGGTGTTAAATGAGATAAAACGCAAGTAGTGTTTCTCCTTTCCTAGAAAGTACTACATGACTTCAAGGAATTGTTTATTGTTGTCATTGTCCTCACCATCAGTAGCCTAATTATTTATAACTTTATGTTGAGTATTTAACCTGTATTTAGGTCCAAGGGACCAGGGACGTTATAGAGGAAACAAACTCTTAGGTGCCCTGGGGAAAACGTGCTGACTTCAGAATTCCTATCCAAGGATGACTCATCCCCTCTAACATGCTCAAGTTACCTTAGGAAATATGTCCACCCCACTCTTTCATTGAAAGTAAAACTGAGTCAAATAGAAAGAGAAGAAATGGGCCCCATTTACTGGAACTAGGACCCTAGGGTTCTAAGGCCTGTGTTCTATACTTGCATCGGAAGCCGTGTAACTGATGTAGTGCCTCAGTGTGGTTTGGTTGGGGCAGTGTAGACATCAGGCAGGCAGCCTTCCCCTGAGCAGGGAACAATGAACCAGCCCCCTTGGCTAATGCAAAACCAGGGCTCAAATGGCACTAACTACTTCCAGTTCAAATAAACTTTGTTCAACCACCAGCTGACAAGGCTCATGTGTCAATCATTTAGTAAACCCTTCAGTGAAATGCAGGGTTGAGCTAGATGACAGAGAAATGAGAAGGAAGTATTCTCATTTGACTCTCCCAACCCCAAACACAATTTTCAAAAGGATGCACTAGACTCTCGCTAATTCAACATCCTAGTTCTGCAAGGTCCTGGCCGATCACCTGTTCTGGAAATCTGTCTCTTCCATGGTTTTGACTAGTTTGTCTAAAGCTATGAAATAGGAAGATGTTTCCACTTATAACTATTAAAAAGCCTGACTCAAACTGGCTTAAACAATAGAAAGATATCTCATGAGTTAATAAATTAAAAGATCAGCTCCCAGGTTACTTCATATCTTGGCTTCACAATGTCATCAGATCAGGTCTTCCCATCTCTCTGTTCTGATGTTCCCAGAGTATGGGCTCTGCCCTCAGGATGGTTGCTTAATGACTACAGGATGGCTCTATCAGCCTAGTTGTCACACCCAGAACCAGCAATGGGCTGAGGAATAAAGGACCTTTGTTCTTGCACATCTTTCCTAGGATCAAGGAAACCTTCCCTAAAAGGCCCAGCTGACTCTAGGCAGGCTTGGGAACATCATCTGACAATCACTGGCAAATTCAAGGAGATTACCATGGTGGGCTTTGACCAATCGTTTGGGGTGCAACAGATATTGGGACATGCCTGTATATCTCATCTTTGTCTTTG